AAAAAAAAAAAAAAAAAAAAAAGTCCTAAGAACAAAAGCAAGCTTAAAAACTTCATATCCACAGGACATGAAATGCAAAAGAGTCAGTCCTATATAATAAAAAGTAAAATATGAGCTACACAGTTAGGTGAATATATACAGGTCTATGGTAAGGGTTATATGCATGATGTAGTAATCTATGTTATAATGATAATGCATAAAATACATTCAATTCTGCTATAGATATGGAAAGACAAACCCTTAAAATTACCAGAAATTGTGTTAATGGGCACATAATACAAAAAGAATTCAGGTCATCAATAGAATGCACTTAGAGGATGTAAAAAGGCAGGAATTTTGTGTGAAAAATGGGTGATAAAACAGATTAGAAAGCTCACAAATAAATTCCCATGTATATAATCATTTTCAACATTGGCTCCAAAATATCACAACGAGGAAAGGACAGTCTCTCAACAAATAAAATTGAGAATACTGGAAATCCAAATGGAATAAACTGAATTTATACCTTACCTTACACTACATATATATATGAACTCAAAATGTGCAGGGTGCATGAGGGAATACTCAAAGGAAGAGTCATATCTTGATGTGCCTGCATTATTAGTAATGATTTTATAAGCTTGAAACCAATATTCAATTATTAGTTGTAAACAGATTAGGAATTGAATTAGGAATATGATTTGAGAGGATGGACAAAGAAAAACAGAGATAGGAGAAAAGTGATTCAGAAAAGCCCTGGTTTCAGCTCAAATCACTGTCTAAGGCCTGCCGCTTTAAAACTGAAACCTGTCTTGCTGGAACTTCCTCTCTCTGGTTGTGGTCGTGCTGTGTTGCTGCTGCTAGCTGCAAAGGTTTTCTGCTCTGGTGGGGCTCTCCAGGATAGTTATTTTGGGGAGTTGAAAATGTAGGATGTTTAAACTTTGTTGAAGAATTGCTCCAGACCAGATAAGGAGATAAAAATACCTCTTTTCCTCTGCCACCCTAAAGGAGTCAGTCTATCTGGACATAAGGCTTTATGAGTCTTAACAATCACTTTTGTGATTTGTGTGCGTGGCCTAATAGGGGTTTTTCTTTGATGCCCTGCTTCTGAACTGTTTTCACTGTTCCAAACTCTCTTTGTATTAAAATCATAAAATACCTTAAAGCAACAAAAGAAAGAAGTATGGCTCGGTGCTTGTGGCTCAAGTGGCTAAGGCGCCAGCCACATACACCTAAGGTGGCGGGTTTGAATCCAGTCTGGGCCCGCCAAACAACAATGATAGCTGCAACCCGGAAAAAAACAAAAAATAGCCAGGCATTGTGGCGGGTGCCTGTGGTCCCAGCAACTTGGGAGGCGGAGGCAGGAGACTCCCTTGAGCCCAGGAGTTGGAGGTTGCTGTGAGCTATGCCACGGCACTCTACCCAGGGGGACAGCTTGAGGTTCTGTCTCAAAAAAAAAAAAAGAAAGAAGTAATCCATGAGCACAGGAAGAACCATGACAAGGTTGTTTGCCTTGCCTTCATGAGATTTATGATCGAAACACTGGTGTATGAAATAAATACAGAGCTAGCCTGGAATTCTGGGCTACAAACTGGAATGCTCGCAAAGAAGGGTTTGTAACCTCTTGACCCCAGCTATTCTAAAACTATCCTTTCTTTATTTTTATTTTTTCATTGTCTTCATCCTCTCATCCCACCAAGCCACTGGAAGGGAACCAATAGCATTATTGGGGCTGCTTCCAACAAAAATGGACTGACTTATTTGGTGGTAGCCACTGTAAAGGAAATTTTGTTAATTTATCTTTCAATTCATTATTATGGTACCAAAATGTTACTAATTCTTACATTAGTTTTGTATTCTATAACTTGACTGATTTTTTTAGTAGTCCAATAGGGTTTTGTGGTATAGTCTTTAGGAGCTTTTAAATAAATATTTGTCTGCAAACAGTAACAATTTGACTGTCTACTTTGCAATTTGAATGACTTTAATTCTTACTTCTCCTTTTTTTTTTGGCCGGGGCTGGGTTTGAACCCATCACCTTTGGGGTCTGGTGCCCTGCTCCTTTGAGCCACAGGTGCCGCCCAATTCTTACTCCTTTTTAAATGCTCTCATGAAGACTTCGATTACTCTGCTGAGTAAGAGTGGTAAAAACTAATATTCTTATCTTTTTCAATACTCAGGAGAAAAAGCCTCCAACTTTTCCTGTTCACTATGTTAATATCGTTTTGTCATATATGGCCTTTGCTGTGTTGTCACGCATACCTTCTATATGTAATTTCATCAGTGTTTTTACCATAAAGGAACATTGTCAAAGGGGGTTTCTGCATATAAAATAGTGATAAAATTTAAGATACATAGCAATGAAAATTAAAATTGTGAAATATATCTACACTAAAATCCATTAAAACACAAATGAAGAAACTGAAATACACATGAATAAATGGAACATTCCCTTGTGCTTATTGATTAAGAAATAATTTTTAAATGAACATACTACCCAAAGTGACATACAGATTCATTGCAATTTCTATCAAAATACCAATGACATTGTTCACAGAGATATTTAAAAACCTAAAATTTACACGAATCTAGAAAAGACCCCAAATACACAAGGAATCCCAAGCAGAAAGAAAAAGCTAGGAGCCTGGAGAGTATCTGACTTCAAAATTTAGTGAAAAGCCACAGTCACGGGTGGCACCTGTGGCTCAAAGGAGTAGGGCGCCGGCCCCATATACCAGAGGTGGCAGGCTCATACCTGGCCCCAGCCAAAAATTACAAAAAAAAAAAAAAAAAAAGCCACAGTCACCAAAACGGCATGGTACTAGGAAACAAACATGGATAAAAGATACCATGTT